ACCTCTTAAATCTGAAATTAATTTAGATTTAATCATCTAATTAAATTGATTGCATTGGGACCACATACAATGAATATGGACAGGTTTTCCCTGACTCCTTTGGTCCGCCCCCTTCCCTTCCTTTTCTTCTCCTAAAATTAAATCCCTCCCAATCAATTAAACCCAATAATCCCCATTAACCCGTCAGCCTCCCCCTCTAATTTCTTCTTAAATATTTCCCGCTAAAGCCTTTGGGGAATTTCGAATCCTTTTCCTTCCCCAAGTTACTTAATCTGAAACAAAATTCAGATTCTTGTTTTGGAAGGCTTCTCCCTAACACTATCCTTCCCTAGACCGTGACCTAGAGAGGGTTTTAGCCATCACTAGATGGCTGTCCAGCCTCTGTGCATCCCCAAAGTGCTGTCCAAGAAGCTACAGCAGATTTCCTTTCTGCCCCACAACTCAGCATTCCTTGTTTTGCTGGCCAGAAGCATTCCGCCATCCACCTGCTCCTCGAGATCTGAAAATTCAGCAAGTTCATTCAGCTGAATTGCTGAACAAGTGGTTTCCATTGCTGCCCAGGGATTTCCAGCAAGCTTCCCTTGTTGTACGAAAAATTCTGGACATTTACAGTGGCTGAACTCCTTCTCAAGACCTTGGATATTGTTGTCCCAGCTCTTCCTCTTGCTGTCTTAAGTAGTTGTTCGGAAAATCTTGCGCCATCCCCTTTCTACCCCACCGATTGGGGAGTCTCTGAATGTTGTTCAAGACAGCCAGGGAGTTTGGATTGTCATCCACTTCCTCTCAAGCACCTAGACGACCACGCCGGAGCTTCGTAGCCTCTGTCCTTTGGGTAAACTCTTTCTCCAATTCACTTATCTTCATAGTTACTTCTCGATTGTGGTATTAGTAAATTCATGAGGATGGTGTTAATGTTGCTCCGCTAAAGCCTAATAAATTAGAGAGTTTAGTGAGGGATCATTGCATAGTAACTTATCTTATTGTTAATCTAGGGATGTCTTGTTGAAAATCGTCCATGTATGCAACGTTAGATTAATTGATTATTTATGGTCTAAACTCCTATGCATATGATTTAGTCTAAGCTTGTTTTATCACTCTTTGTGTTTTATCTCGTCGTTAAAATCGTTATAAAGATATAATTATTGTGGTCTCTAAAATTAAGCGTGCAAATTCATTAAAGTAATTCATCTTTGCATATATTGTTTTACATCACCTATTTACTTTAATTTTCCTGGGTTTATGATGCATGAACTCCAGTTAGTTGTTGAATTAAATAAAAAATCTTTCCATGAGACCCGCAAAGCAGTTAATGCAAATAATAATGGCACTTTGCAACCTTTGCATGCAAGATTAAATTTCTCTAACTCTTGCAAAAACTCGTAACATGAAAAATAAGTTCTCTAACTCTTGCAAGGACTCGCAACATGTAAAAAATTAAGTTTTCTAACTCTTGCAAAAAATTGCAACATAAATTATATAAAAGAAATCGAAATGAAAACATGAATTGACAGGAATCTTAAATCCACACGATCTTAAATAAGATGATTTTCACAACATTTTAATCGGAAGAAAACATATCTTGATTCATGTTGAATTCCGAACTACGGTTTCTCATTTTTTACCCTTTTACTTTCTTCTTTATGAATTAATTCTCTATGGAAAAGACTAACCCCTATAATGAGAGAGAGAGATTGGTAGTTATTTCATGCGGATTAGTTATAAAAACCGCTCATAAGAGTTATGTGATTAAACGGCCCATAAACGATTGATCAAATTATCTCTTCTTGATCAATATGATTTAAATATAAATAATTAAATTCTTAATTAATCATTGAATAAAATTTTAATGATTAAGATATATGGGTCACTTAATGATTTATATAATTAAATATATATACTTAAATAATTATTACGACGTCTCGCATAATTATTATATTTAATTATTCTAACATTGCAATCCTTCGTGTGTTGCTTTTGATTTTTTTTTTATTTTTTGTGTCGTCTTAGAAACCTTTTGGAATGTTGTTACTCAGCTATTTTCTGATCTTTTTAAACTTCTAATGGTTTCATTGATCCCTTGAAGCCAATAATGAGTCTTGCGCTGAGCTTGGGAATGCAATTATATCTTCTTCTG